CTAAGTTAGGAAGTACCCATGTGAGGAAAGGAAGAAATAGCTCGAAGTGATAGCTGAGCTCCTCGAGTCAACATCATTTGCCTCATCACAGAAAAGAGGGCAAAAGAATCCAGTGCACACAAAATTACCTTTTTAATAAAAAGCAGTGTTGACAAAAGCCAAGCTGCCCATACTTTCCAACATTATCAGTTCTTCTGTAGAAAAATAATTCCTCCTTGTTTAAATCCAGAAGTGGTCTTTTTCTAACACACTGATCCTGAAAGATTGAATCAGACTTTGATTTAGAAATGTGGGGGATGACTGGAGATGCCTAGTATACAAAGAGGATCCAAGGAGCTGCTGCGTGCTAACTCAACAGCACTGATCAACTTAGCGTAGGACAGCCCTTGGCAACTGGAGGCCCTCCAGACATGCTTGACTATAATTCCCATCACTCCAGCCAGAATGTTTTAATCTAAAGCAGAAGTCTTTCGACCAGAACCAGGTGCAAAACAGTTGGTCAGGTTGGGCAGCAGCACCCTTAAAGGACAAACACCTTTGAAGAAGCGTGCAGTGCAGGAACTGTCTTTCCATGCCAGAAGGCTGCTCACAGGTCTTTCACCCAAAACCCACTCTTGGTTTCCCCTGAAACTTTCTTAGTTGCAGTGGCCCAATTCAAGGAGTCACAGTGTGGAGGGAGAGCTTTTATGTTGTTAAATTATTGAGATTATAGGCAGAGCAAGGTTTGTTCAATGAAGCATCACCTGATTATAATGTATAACTTAGATTTTCAGTCTCATTGTGGATTTGACCTTAGTGTCATTTTTTAGAAATATTATATGCTGCCCTGGGATTTGGTAATGGAGGGTGCATATAAGTATTTTAAATGAATAAAACAGATAAGGGAAACCCTTGTAGCTACATCGCAAGCCACCCAGTGACCCAGAGTTCAAGCAATCGATCTCAAACTGTTGTCTGCCCACTCATTAGCTTTACACCTCTTTAAAAATGGAGTATGTTCCAGGAGGAGTGATGGCTGCCTACTTGGGCCACTTGAAAGGGGGATTAGACAAGGTCACAGAAGAATGGGGTGGTCATGGCTCCTAGCAGTGATGGATGCATACTGCCTCCGGTATCAGGAGGAGAGGAACAGGAAGCAGCGACTGCCTTCCTGCCCTGTTGTGGGCTTCCCAGAGGCATCTGGCTGACCAGTGTTGGAACAGAATGCTTGACCTTTGGCCTGAGCCACCAGACCTCCTCTTACATTCTTACGTTGCAGGCAGTCCTCAAGTTACAAGTGCAAGTGAACAACCTGCACTTTCTAACTGCCATGAAGTCTACCACTTTAACAAAAAACTGCAGAACACTGTCATCACCACGGAGGAAGAGGAAGCGGGGGGGGAGGGGGCCTCCAAGGCTTCACCATAGAGAGGAAGCAAAAGGAGAGAGAGGCCTCGAAAACATCACCATAGAGAGAGAGAAAGTGACAGGATACGGTAGAAAGCCTCTAAAGCAGTGATTTCCAAAGTGGGTGGTACCACTCCCAGGGACAGTGGAAAGATCCAGGGGGCAGATGATTGGCTGCTTTAAATTTGCAGTAGGGCAATAGACCTAATTCAAAGAAAGAAGCATGAGAGCACTAGGGTTGCCACCCAAGAGGAAAGGGGGCAGCGGCTCAAAAAAGTTTGGGGGGCACTGCTTGAAAGCACACCTTCCTGCCCTGCCCACCTGGAGAGGGAAGTCTCCCTGGGATTTCCTTGCTGCAGAGAGGAGGCACTGGCGAGTTTGGGTGGGGCGGGGGGGAGATTCTTGGTTTTTCCACTTTCATGGGGGGCCTGCACCCCTAAGCCCCGTCAATGTGGAGAGTCAACTATATGTGATCCAACTTACATACTGATTCAGCGTAAAGATGAATTTCCGTTCTCTCAAGAACGGAACTCATTCATAACCCAGGGACTGCCTATACTTCATTCCTTTCTGCATGGATCCTCACATGCCATAGGTTGCTGGTGTCACCAAGCTACACTCTCTAGCAGGGAAATTGTGACAGTTAAAATGACACAACACTAATGTGGGTATTTGCAATCTAGATGGGCCTGAGGCATCATGATATTGGAAATGGAGTAATCCAAGGTAACCTATTCAGGATGCTGAGATAATGCACCCCCAAATCCTGACTAATTTCCTCAGCACTTGTCATCACTTAAGTAGATTTAAATAACTCTGTAGTCTTATCTTGCAACAGTTCATTTGAGAATATGCACACTTGACATTAAATGTTCGTTTTAAGTAATTAGAAAATATTCTTGTATTAGGTAATTTAGTGCAAATTTGCCTAAGAAATGGTTTTTATGGTTGCTAGCTGTGACAGAGTGTTACCAACATATAAGCAGCTGCCAACGGTCTACCTATATTGTATTAGTGTAGTTATTAAACTTTAGCTGAAATCCAACACTCCTTAACTGGATGAACACAAATATTTATTTAAAAATCCATTTTTCTTATTGAGCCACAGGTCTAAAGAGGCTGATTCTGAGCTCCACTGAAGTCCTTTCCAGGCTTATTAAAGGTTGCCTTCTATTGCATCACAGGACTCGTTCCAAATACCACCTTTTCCCTCATGTGCTTATTTTTTCCCCCAGCATCAAAGTCATGCAAGATGTTACACTGAGCTGCATCCGCGCTGAGAGTGACCATCTCAGACCGACACGTTTGCCTGTGTGTAGAGGGGAGGGGTGTCGTCTCAGCCCCCTTGTCACATTCCGGCTTTTTCCTCAGCTCCATTCATATTGCAGTGCCAGCCTCTGCAACTGTGGGTCCCCTTGCTCTCTGGCGTGGGCACGAGCAGGGCCTTTTCGTACACACATCTTCGGAAAGCAATCTACACACTACGTTTCTGATTGTTTAAGGGCACGATGCGATGCCCGCTGCTCTCAGCACTTGGGTGCCTGGACGGAGAGGGGCGGTGGCCGCAGCCTCTCCCGCTGCTGCACTCGTGCTGTATTATTTTCCCTGGATGGCGGCTGTGTGCCATCTGGACTGTGCGATGGAGATGGAAGCTGGGCACCAACAGGAGTCAGTGTGAGGCATGGGCCCACTCCACACACCCCTTTTATCCCCTCAGAGGCCCCGTTGCAACACCAGGGAGGTGTGTGGCATGGTTTTTCCTTTGCCAACTTTGTGGGCTGTGGAGCAGAATCTTCCCCTCCAGAGACCCAGCAGGGGCTCCAAAAAATCCTGCCGTTCCCCCAGACAATTCTGGGAGGCCACAGGATGACACCCTAAGCAAAGCAGACCATGAAAATTTATGCCATAATATGTGTGTTATTTTTCAAAAGCCTTTCCCAAACTTGTGCCCGCCGGATATGCTGGACTACAACTTGTATCCTACTGCAACCAAAAATGTTTTCTTAGTCTTTGTTCCCAGCCGTTTTTTGCCGTTTCCTTGTTGTTCTTTATTTGCACTGTTTATAGGCTGCCCTATAACAAAAAGCTCTCTGGGCGGCTTATAGCACAAAACAACACTGGCCGAAAATTCACTGACAGTAAAATAGCAGTCATTGTCATCTGCTGTTATTGAGTGGCCCAGATGGGAAAGAAAATAATAATAAAAAATTAACATCTTCTGTCAAAGGAAAAATACACACATTGTCATTATGCATTATTCTCCTTCAAGTAAGACAAGGCTTCCTTCCAGCAAGCAGGCACGGAAGATGATTGAACCAATCGATGATAAACAGCTTTTTCAAAAAAGTACCTGCAGATGCCACCGTTTGGTTAGCAGCGTATAAATGTGGTATAATACAAAAGGCCCAGAGCAGAGGGTGACTGACAGGGACACACATGATGAAAAACCCACTTGGGGCAAGAGTTGACCAGCAGGCGTTAGCCAAGCTGCGTCTCTAAAACAGTCCCTTGACTAAAGTTCACTCAGTTTAAGCCAAGTATCGTTACACCAAGGGCAGGAGGGCAGGCAGGCAGGCAACTTGATCCCCCAAATGTTTTCGACCCCAGCATCCTTCATGCCTGGCGGTCAGCCATAGTAGCCACAGCTTCCACGAGGCGCCGTTGAAAGCGTCAGGCGGGCACCAGGGTGCCTATTCCTTCACCACCCTTTTGGGCCACCACATGCCTGCAGGTGACAACATCACATCTTGCAGTTTCTCCAGCCAGCAGCAAGACAATCAGGCAAGGGAGGGTGATGGTGGCCCTGAGCCAAGCATCAACAGCCAGATGTTAATTTGTCTTAAAGCCTGGAAAAATCAGGATGATGCAAATTAATGGAAAAGGAAATCCTACACAGAAGAGGACACAGATAGGAACTGTCTAGGCAGCCTGTGGTCCCACTAGAAGTGCATTTGTATTGCTAAGCCCTAGAACAGTTATAACCGTCAAGCACGCCAAAGACGCTTTGAGTTGAAAGTAAATCTGCTTAGCGAGTTATCTTTTGCTCTCTGATTAAGATGGATCAGTTGTAGCTTTTACATATGCAGTAGTTAGTTTCCATTTTCATGTATGTTGACAGCTTCATAATAGCTTTCCCTTTTTGGGGTGGGGTGCTTGGGGAAGGATGCTCCCATAAAGTACATCAGCACACACACTTCAGCTGTCAAAGGTGACAGTAAATAGGAAACCCGTGGCAGGCGGGAATGGGCTAAGCACCCTCATTCCGCACTTTCCTCCCGCACCGCTCACACATCTCTGCATCAAGCACACATTTTCCCTTGCTGCAGGCAATAAACAGAGCCACTTAAAGGAACTATTGGTGAAGGAAAGCTAGTAGGGAGCTCCCCCACGTGGAGAGAAGCTGGCACTGCAACCAGTGCTCAGTCTTGGGTCTCAGCAAGCACCTTGGCAAGCGTGGGGTAGAGAGGGGTGGTGGATCTCAATATCCCCACAGACCCCTTTCACAGACCAAAACAGACCCATTTCACAGACCAATACTGGGCCTGAGACAAGCAAATCCAGCCTTCAGCACATAAGCCAGCTGGTGTATTAGGGAAAACTGAAGACAAGAACGATTTGGCAGGAATTGATTTATTAGGTACAGCAGGTCAATAGAATCTCCAATGATCTGATGAGTCCTGTTAGCAGCAGAGTCCAGGGGGATTAGGAAAGAACCCTGTTCAAGGGAGAGAGAAAGCAAGAAAGTAGAAGAGCCAAGAACATGGCCACCAAGGTGAGGGTACAAACACAAAGTCCTTGCTGGCCGTGTGCCAAGGCCTTCTCAGCTGTGTCACTGGCCAGTCCTCAACGCACGGGTCAATGGGCAGCTCATGGGAGGGCACAACACTACGGGCCAAAACGTGGTTCAGCTCAGGCCACCGAGGTCCCGGGTTCTCTCCATGGGCCTTTCAGACAAGTCCCGAGCGAGAGAAGTTATTGCATACAAAGGGTTGCGTATTTTGCACTCCGGTGAACGGCTGCTCCCCCATAATCCTTCAAGACTGGAACGGGTCCATGTGTGTGCCCCTTGACTGCACAAAATGAGGGCTGCTATCTAGCCAGAGCAGGCGTCGCTTCTCTTTTAAAAATCCAGCACAGCGAATTGCCCGTTTCTCTCTCTCGGTGGGCAGGTGCGGATGGGCTCGTGCCTGCTGTCGCGCGGGCAAGCTCCTTCCCGTGTCACACGTGCACGGCTGCAGAAGCGAGCCTGGACAGTCTTTTCAGGGAAACACAGCGGGCACGGGGGGCGGGGTGGGGAAAGCACAAAACGAGGCAGAGCAGCCTCTTGTCCTGTTCAAGACCCTTCGGATTGGAACTTGATCCCACAAGAAAATCGGGAGACTGAAGCCAACCGTGCAATCCAGGTTGGCTGGCAAAACCCATTCTGGCTGGCTGAGGGGGCCCAGCCCCCAGTGCCCCTCATTCAAGCCCCCGGCAGAGAGGAGCCCTGAGCAGCCAGGGAGAGGAGCCCGAGACACTGGAGAGGGGCTCTGGGGAGAGTGGAGGCGGGGGAGCCGCTCCAGGCAGCAGGGGGACGCCGGTCCGGAGCGGCCTCGCTCCTTCGGCCCCAGGGCTGTGTGCCACGGCTCCCGGCCCCACAGACTGCACTGCAGGGCGGAAGGAGCACTGCCCAGAAGGCCTCTATAAATACTATGTACATTGCCGCCCACAGCTCGTGTGCCCCGGCCGGGAAGGGAAAGCCCAGGCAGCCATTAATACTGGTAGCACCGGCTGCACACCCAGGCGCACAGGCACACAAGCACAGAGACGGATGTGGCACAGGCGCAGCCGGAGCTGTGGCTACGAGTGTGGCTTCAGTCCGACAGAGGGCACGGCGGGCATCCAGTGAAGGCGGCAGCACAGGCCCTGCACCGGGGTCACCAGTTGGCTTTCACGGCATTGATGTCGCTCACTAGGTTCTGTGCCAGGCAGATGCCGAAGATCTGGAAGAGAGAGTTGAAGGCAAGGCATGAGAGGCAGGCAAGGAGCCCCTGCCCTCATGTGCTGGTGCGTGCAGGCTATTCACGCCACTTTCACGAAGTCTGCTGGATCCAGGATCGGCTTTCTGCAGACGGAGATGCTCCACTCACAGAAGGCGCCTCTGCCTGCTCAGGAGATTTCCCCCAACGCAGCCCACCCCAATCAGCAGGGCCCCACAACTTTCTCTGAAACATTCTCCGGAGACTGGCAGATTTGTGCTGGAGCCGGACACCTGCTCCTTATGCTGGCAAGAGGAAGGAGGCCTCCAGCAGATCTCTCCCGCATCGCAGAGGCCCACCGCCCAGGAGGGAGGGAAGCAGCCGGAGAGCCGCCCCAGCCCCTCCACTGCCATGGGAAGGCAGAGCAATGGCAAACACAGGGCACCCTGCGCCACAACTCGTGGGACCGTGTCCTGAGAGGCCTTTTAGACTCAGCCATTTCCCTTGGCCTGCAACACAGTCAGTAACCTGCTGGGATTAGTGCATGTGAAATACCATCTGGTTCTAAAATGGTTAATTATGGTATTTTTCTATAATGCTTTTCTTGACTATTATATCACATCCCATGGCTTTAGGATTTGTTGTAAGTGGTCTTGGGAGGGTTCGCTCTAAAGGCTAGCTTTATCAGGGGTTTTAAAAAAAAAGAAATAAACCCTCATGTTTCAAGGTCTTCCCTCACAGCTTACAACTACCGCTCACAACTACCACACAACAGATGACCACGCCAATTTTTGCTTTATGCCAATGGGGGAAACACGTCCGTTCAGAGAGGAGCAGAAAAGGGTCCCGGTAAGATTCGCAAAAACATGGCCCCCTCTGGACCAGTTAAGGGCACCGTTTCGGCATGGGACTGATAAAAACACCCATTTCCACTTGGCGGACTTGACATCCTTTAAAAAGCAAGTGGGAGAAGTTAAATGTTCGTATGTTTAGGGGGGAAAACCCGGAGTGAACATATATGGGTCCTTCTCACCCCAACAGGATGAACAATTTTATGAACAATTTCACCAACAAATGCAGCATTTTAAGTAAGCCTAAAAACTTAATGCAGGACCCCTCAGTCTCATTGCTTCTGCTGTCCCACTTCCTTGCCCCTTCTGAAGAACATGATTATTTGATTTGATTTGATTTGATTTCTATCCCACTTTTTTTCTTATAGCAAACTCAAAGCAGCTTACCTCATTCTCCTCCTGTGGCTCTCATCTCATCCCCACAACAACCGTGTGTTGGACTGGGAGTGTGTGACTGGCCCAGTCCCCCAGCTGGTTCCGTGACCAAGCAGGGACTAAAACCCAGATCTCCTACATCCCAGGCTTGCCCTCTTCCCCATGACACCACACTGGCTCTCATGCCACATCATGTGACACTTTCCTTTCTTTCCAAGCTTGACTCGCCAGTGGACTCCTTCCTGGCTCTAGAATCTCCCCACTTCTTTCCTGTGTTTGGGCACACAATGGCCAATTGTCTCACTAACTTCCTGGCCAATTCCCTTAAAAGCGCCTCCTTCCTCCCTGGTACATCGACCCTCCTTTAAAGTGGATGGTGCTGCTGCTCCTTCTCCAGTCCCTGCGGCTGCTCCCTGCTTGCTTTGCCCAGCATTTAAATCCCCCTAAAGGGGACAAGGGTGCTTTCAATGCCCAGCTCTGCTCACTTCCAGCTGGCCCTCCAGAGGCAGCAGGGAGCAGGGGCAGGCCGGTGGCTGGACCCGCCACGATTCCTTTCTCGCTTAGGGTCAGCCCAAGGCAGGTTGGGCAGAGATCTACCGGATCCATAGGACAAGAATCTGGGCTGCTGCTTCTAACTGGTTGTTTTATGATGCCACTGCTCTTTTTATGCATATTTTGAAATTCACTTGTGTTTTTTACCATCCTGGGAGCTAATGGCTACAGGGAGACTAACAGGTCCCACTAAGAAAATGAAACAAATGAAGTCTTTCTGCAGGTTCCTGCTACCTATCCTGACACTCGGGGCCATGTTATACAGGGTCCAATATGTAGTTGTGTTTGTGATCAGAAACCCGCAGCATCGCTGGCGCGTGTACCTGGAGCAGTGCGACGGCCACGAAGGCTCCGGCCACCACAATGAGATTGTCCTGGAGCCACTTCTCAAACTGGCCAGCACACCCCTTGGTGTGGATGAAGTTCTGCTGCTCCAGCTCCTGCGGAAAGGCACAGGCAACCGTGCAAACAGGCCGCGCAGGCAGCGGGAAACCGCTTTCCCCGGCTTGCAGGGCGAAGAGCGGCTTCCTCCAGCCCCTCCCGCTCCCTGGAGGCTACCTGCTCCCCACGGCCACCAGCGCCAGCCCACACACCCGCCTGGGCCCCAGCCCACAACTCAGAAGATGCACCGGTCCAACCTTGCTCTGCCCTGTGCCCGGAAGACCAATGTGCCCTGGCCCCATTTCTGGCTCATCCCACGAGCTCAGCTCAAGAGGCGCATCCACCTGCTTCCTCCCCGACACGAACCCTGGCAAAGCAGCTTGGCTCTCACCAGTTTAAGGCGGACATCGTAGCCACACTGTGTGTTGAGAACATCCTCCTGGGGAAAGAACGGACACGGGACAGATTACACCGCCCTGGGAAGCCGCCAAGCCCTTTCCCAGCAAAGGGGCCTGTTGCTCCTTGACGTGCTTTGCAAGCCGCACCCTTCCAAATAACTCAGCAGCAGGCCTCCATCCCACCCCAGCCTCTGCCTTCCCCAGCCCGATGCCCTCGGGACATTTGGCCTGCAACTCCGGGAGCCCCCAATCACTGGCCATGCTGCCCAGACTGATGAGTGCCACACAGCTGGAAGCACCGGGCGGAGGACGGCTGCTTCACCCCATTCCAGATAAGGGCGGATGTGCCAATGGAGTTAAAATATTCTGGGACAGGTTGGATCATACTCCGTCTAATGTGGCCAATCACGTACCCCAGACTGGGCAAAGATCCACACTCCTGAGTGATTCTGACCTTAAACAAGCTCTGCAGATACTACTTGGGTGAAGAGGGGACAAGCAGCCGGGAATCCAGGCCGCACTGCGACTGGATGCCCCTGAGGCGAGACGTACGGCTTCTTTCCCACCCCTTCTTCCAGCTCCTTACCGCAGGATCCTTGACACAGCAGGAAAAGGGCACCCCACAGCGCTCCCTGCTGGGGTTGGAGTCAGTGCAGTTGAAATAAATGTTGAGGTTCCAGTCGTTAGGCCCATGAGCCCCGCAGCAAGACCACTGTGGAAGGAGGCAGCGTTAGATGGGAGCGAGTGTCCAGAAAACAAGCCACACCGCAGCGCTAATGCATGGTGCAGAAACGCATGGAACAAACCAACCTGACCCTGAGGAAGCAACTCCCATGCTCAGAAATACGGTACGGGGCATACCACATGGGAGGTCGTGCAGACTCCTCACTGCTTCCAGACGGAGGCCGCTGAGAGCATTTTGGCCAGGCTGCTGCTGCATCACCAGCATCTGCCAGCAGAGGGCAGGGCCCCCTCTGGCTTGGGCATCACAGCTATGCCATTCCCAGGCCACAAGGAGTGGGAGGTGTTTCCACACTTGTCATTTACTCTGGAACAGCCATGCGTTATTCACTCACTTTTTACGGGTTGTCTACATAGTGCTGTCATCACAGTTCCATTTTCCTGTATTTTCCCCATGGTTCTTCTGTCTCTTTCCAGACTGCAGAAGATCCAACAGAACCACCCCTATAGGCTGGGTCAGATCTTTGGTCTTCTCTCACTGAACCGAGGGCTTCTTCCAGACCGGCGGCTCCAGGCACTAGCCATCACTCTTCGACCCAAGCAAAACACCAGTTCGCAGGTAGGCTTCCCACAGTGTGGAATCCCTGCAAAGTTCCTTGGACATCTGTGGATCCCAGTTACTCCCGCAGACATACAGCCATACGGAAAGAGATAATTCTGCACACACCCTTTTTAAAAGCAATGTTTTGATCGTTTTTTAAATGGATCCTTTAATTTGCAGAAAAATGGGTTTTTTTTAAATTTAGGAGCCATTTCTTCATTACTTTCATTAAGGATTTTTAAAGATTGTTTTTTAAAGGATTTTAATGTTCATCAAAGGATGAATATAAAAATTAACTCAGTACTAAAATGGAATTAAGTGAAAAGGTAGCTTTTTTTGGAGACGGTGTTAATCAGTTTTTTAAAATTGTCACTGAATTTTCTTTTTTCCCAATTTAAGCTCTAGGACACACGTATTTTCATGTTGTCTTTTTTAAAACAGGCACAAAAACAGGCACTTCAGGTCAAATTAAAAGGCAGACTGAAAACACACACACTGATGAGATGGTGCTGACAAGGAAGGTAAGACTCACATTAACCCAAAGTGGATGCGTAGAGACAGAGTCGTCTACTCAGAAGCTCACTAAGCCCATCGCAACCATGACGCTTAGTGAAAACATTTTTGGGGGATTTTGCAGGATGCCATCAGATGGCTGTGCTCCTGTGTTTCCCTCCGTCTCTTTCCAGACTGCAGGCAGAAGAGCAGAGCAGCCACATCGCCACAGGTGTGGCACTAACACGAGATTCCCCAGTGGGCACCTTCCAGGTGTTGTGGACTTGAACGCCCATCAGCTCTAGCTAGCACTGCCGAGAGTCCAGAATGCAGGACACTGTAGTCCAGAATATATGGAAGGCACTCGGTGGGAAAGGCGATCAGTGGAGACTGTGACTCCGTTCTGGTTTTGGGTTGTGCAATGCGCATCTGTTGAACTGGGCAGATGAGCCTGCTGGTGGAAGTCTGCACTGACATCTCTTTCCATGTCTGCCATCTTCTTTTCATTTGCACTAAAACGCCTGCTTACCCATTGTTTATTTTAAATTTATCATTTCATTTGCACGAAAACACCTTCTTGGCCATTTTTAAGAAATTATTAAAATATTCGCACAATAGCACTTCCATGGAAAAGCATTCCAGCACAATTTTAAATACTGATTAAAGAAAAACAAAAACAGCATGTTGTCTTTCTGCTTGCACCATCTTAGCACTATGTTATCGGTTTTATTTTCCTGATTGTTAATTAGCGCTAAAACACTTTTTGCCTACCTTTAGATTATATTTTTAAACTATAGAAATAATCCATAGCACCTGTATAAAAAGCACTTCAGCTCAGATTAAATAATCGATTAAAATGGATCAAAGATGGATCAAACTAGCACACTCAGGTGACCTGTCCCTTTTGGGCTCACCTTGTTATTTCAGGCCCACCAGTATGAATGAATACAGTGGACTAATGCTCCAGACCAGCATCACACTCTCAGAAGCAAATAAAGTCGATTGTAATTCTGCACATAGCTTAGTGCAGAAGAGTGATGTTTGGATAGCACAAGGAGCCACCTGTCTGGAAGCATCTCAAGAGAGAACTAGAACTGAATGCCTGATGATCAGGTGTGCCACTTGTGCTCCCTGGGCTGAAACTCTGCACTATGTCTTGGAGCAGAGCATCTCCCTGAAACTATTCAGCACGAACCAAGAGTAGAGCTTGCATGCCTGCTGGATGCAGCCACTGGCGTTGTAAAGTTGGAGGAATCTGAAGAGAAGAGATCCGAAGGTGTAGCTCTGCAGGCGGACACTCATCAAGGACAAGCTATGATCAGCTAGAATGTCCGACTTGCTTCGCAAGTGGTCATGTGACAAAACAGGGCTTTTTCATACAACCACAACCACACACACAACAACTAGGCTGTCGCTCATGGGAGCTTCTAGAACTCACATATTCCTGAGCAAAGTCTATGAGGTTCTGCAAGTCAATGTCATCACGGTAGGCCTTGACATTGTTGTTGATGAAGAAGTTGAGCTGGTCTTTGATCCAGTCCTTGAAGATGAAGGCCAAGACACCAGCTGTCAGCTCCAGGAAGAAGATGAGCCCCAGGAACACGGAGAACTGGGGGCAAAGAAGGGAGAGGCTGTCAGAGGGCAGGTCTTACACATCCAGGCAGTGCAAGTGCTTCTAAGAACCTACGCTCCACCCTGCAGAAGGGTAAGATCAGACATAAAGTGTCCTGAGAACTTTTGTTACATGGCAGCCTATAAATACAGGGAAGAATAAGAAAGGAGGAAAGGTCTTTGAATTGCTGCTGGCTTTTACTTTGCTTGTGGTCTTTCTTAAGCTGAGGGCTTACGTATGCTATCGTATTTTAAGTTCTGCTCTGTGAATTGCCCAGAGAGCTTCAGTTATTGAATGGCAGGAAAATACAAGCAAGTCAATAAACCTCTCCTACCCTCGTGCCAGACAACTGCATAACAATCCCACTACAAGCACTGCATCCAGTTTCCCTTCCACCACTGGCCCCAGCCCTCCTTGCAGTGCCAACGGAAAACCCCAACTGCTACTGGAACTTCCTGTGCAGCAGTGCATGTCCACGGCCTCTCGTCAGCACCTCCCCCCTTGGTTCCCAAGAGCCAACGAGCCAGGAATATTCCTGGCTTGATGTGCTCCAGATGTTTTGGACTTTGACCCCCATCAGCACCAAAGCATAGCCAACAGTTAATAATCCTGGAAGCCACCGTCCAAAACATCTGGAAGGCATCAGAGTGAGGAAGTCTGAGCTGTGATGTATTTCCTCAGCACTCAAAACACTTCACATACATTATCCCAGCCATCCTATAAAGAAGGCCAGCATTATCCTCCCTGTTTCACAAATGATGCAACCTAAGGCTGGAACATGGGCGAGACAGGCTGAAGCTGCTGGCCCACCAAGCTTGTGGCCACACTGAGTTCTCAAACGGGATGTCCAGCTCATGTTTTGCTAGCTAGTCCATTCTAGAAGGAAGCAGGAAGAAACAAAGACTTACAAATTTGAGCAGGAACGTATTCTCCCTCAAGGCCCCAATGCAACCAGCAAATCCCAGCACGAACATCACCACTCCAACCACAAGAAAGAGCCAGACAGGGTCAAAGCCCCCCAGGTCGGTGATGGATGACAGATTGGACAGCACACCCTGGAGAGGACAGCACAGGGGAGGAGGAAGGGGAAGGTGAGCTGAACTGGACCCCACAGCCAAGGACCCTTCAAGCAAGAGTCCGGCTTGCTATACACATGACCAAGGAAACCTGGCATGACGTTTTTGATGCTGCAGTCAGATCTACCTGAAGATGATCTGTAAGCTCTGCATGTGTGCGACTTGGTGCCAGCTGCTGATAGCACAGGGATGTGCCAGAAAAAGGTCCGCGGCAAGTGCATGAACAATTGGCTGCGTTCACGGAGCCAGAGAGCTACTTGGAGAACCAGGCTTGGTTCTGGACCCAAATGTCCATGCCAGTTTGTCAGGCACACCAGAGCTATCTATGGCCCTGGTACCAGAGAGAACAAAACATTTACCAACCAGAAAGTTCCCCATTACAACGGGACTGCTCCCTCTTACCTTTTCTGCCCAGGCCCACAGACCAATGGCCAGGAAGGCAGCCCCCAGCAACTGCAAAAGAGGAAAGTCCGGTTATGCAGAGTGAGGACTTCCTGCACAGTCCAAGAGGACCTCCCCGTCCCTGCCCGCCACCCAAACGCGCACCCATCCCGTGCCCTGCACACAAACGGCGGGGAGAAACAGGATCAGAAATACTAAGCCTGGAACCTGCTCTGCCAAGCAACCTTCCCTTTTGCTTGAAGCTTTTAGAGGGGCAGCCTTTTGAGAAGGTACTCAGGTCTTCCTGGCTGCAAGGACTAAAAGTCCTGGGACTGGGTCAGGCGAGAAGCTCTGGCAGGCAAAAAGCTGCTCATGAACTGCACTCCAGCACAGCACCTCTGCGTCTCCGCCATGCAAACCTGCCCTTGTGTGGCCACATTCACGAATCAATGCGACCCACCGTGCAGGCCATCTCCTCAGCACCCACGCGTGATTCGGCCCCGGAGCCTCTGTGCGCTTCAACAAATGCTGGGTCAGCACCAGCAAAGTGGCCGCCCTGTTCTGGTGATCTGGGTCCCAGAATCTGGCAAGCTGAGAGCTTTAAATTCTGAACTGAGGCATTTCCAAAATGCAAGTGATTTCACATTCCCCTCCCCCACCCCCACCCAGCCGCCTCCCGCCATGCGCACAATTCACAACACAGTCCTATGCAAGTTTGCCTTGAAGTAAATCTTCCTGACTGCAGTGGGTTTTGCCCCTCATGTAGCTTTCCCCAGCCTGGTGCCCTCCAGATCCATTCCCAGCCAGGATTATATGGAGACATCCAAACATATTTGAAAGGCTGGGGAAAGCCAAGTACTTAGGATGGCAGCTGATCTGCAGTTTCTGATAAAGAAACAGGTTTTAGTTCAGCTTATCATCCCACACAGAGGAAAGCATGTTGAGGCAGGAAGAGTCAAGCACGCAGAGGCAGAAGGACGGAGACCAACTCAGAAACCTCCTGGGTTTTTAATATCCTCTTTATAAACTGAATGTTTGATTTCCTAACCTTTCAACAAGCGGTAGAAGGAAACAGAGACACCACATGCTGCCCCCTGCACAATGATTTTTCAGACATTAAACTTCCAAAGCAACAATTTCATCCAGCCCAGGATATACATACTTGCAAATCCGTATCAACAACCTGGCCACTGTCAAAGAGCAGATCTAGCTGATGGCGGCCAGAAGTAGGCTATAATGTAGGCCACTCATGCCTGCAACTGTGCACACAATAAGAAGATGGATGGTGACCATTACAGAGGAACAGAGATGGGGGAGAATGATATGGAAGCCCTATTCCCCCAGTGCAGCAATCAAAGCCACGGAGATCTTGAGTGTAGATCCTGACCTGGATTTCTCCAGCCATGGGCAAGAAGTGGCCTGCTTTGAATCAGGCATCTAGACCTGCCTTCCCCTATGTTCCTCCTGCTAGATATGCTGGGCTATAACTCCCGGCATCCCCAGCTAGCTACACTCCCAGTCCTGCACCCGTGCAGCCAATCCTTATGCAAGGAAAGGGTCAGGCTTGCAAGGCCAGCTGTGGGGCGCATCAGACTGAATCCTGACCCTGTTCCGGCCCCTTTAACACTGGCACTGCACTCCCGCAATATGGGCCCTGACTAAAACAGGAGGCTGGCGATGCAGCATCTGGAGCATTCAAAGCCTGGCACTGCACAGACAATGGACGCTCTGTTCCCACAGTAGGAGGGGGCCACTCTTGAAACAGCCACGACATTCATCTGAGTTCCTCCCTTGCCCACACATTAGACCTTGCCCTTTTCCTACACCAGTTGCTGCTCACTTGCCCCACTGGGGAAAGCTGCGTAGAGGCATCTCGTCTGGTGGAACGCAGAGGACTCAGGTGCCCTTGAGTTGGTCCAACATGGTGAAGCCTTGATGTTGCTGCATCCCAGAGGAGAAAAAGCCACACCCCCAACCTGCAGAGTACTGCTTACCCTTGGGCCAGTTCAGACATGATGATTTTGGCTTAATACAACATGGCTCAAGAAGAGAGAGCAAGCATGTGCCTCCCTGCTCATGCCCAGCTTCAGCCCTTCTATCATGGTTTCTCTAAATCACAATTTCCTGTTCCATGAAATTAGGAAACCATGGTTTAAACTCATTTTACCAGGTTATGAAAGCAGGAACTTAGCTTGATTAAAAAGGTAAACGTTTCCCCTTGATGTTACGTCCAGTCATGCCTGACTCTAGGGGGCGGTGCTCATCTCCGTTTCCTAGCCGGGGGAGCCAGCGCTTGTCCGCAGACAGTCTCCGTGGTCATGTGGCCGGCATGGCTAAACACCGAAGTCCACGGAACGCTGTTACCTGCCCACCAAAGTGGTACCTTTTCATCTACTTGCATTTGCACGCTTTCGAACTGCAAGGTTGGCAGGAGCTGGGACGGAGCAACGGGAACTCACCCCGTTGTGCAGATTCGAACTGGCGACCTTTCGATCAACCAGCCCAGCAGCACAGCGGTTTAAACCACTGCGCCACCTGCATCCCATTAGCTTGATTAGTAAGGTGAAATTAAACCTGTTTCCCAGTTTGTGTGGAACAGGAAATTGTGGCTTAAACAAACTATAACACAAAGGCTGAAAGTATACATAAGGAAGCATATGCACAAAATGCACAAAATGTTCTTTCTTGACTTAATAAATCATGGTTAAATTGACATAATAAACCATGGTTTATTAGGCCCAGATCATTACATCTGAAATGATCCTTTTCCTAAAGCTAGTCTCACACTTTGATGTGCTATGATCTCAGCAAACTCAAGCCTTGCATGCCTCAAATAAAAATAAGCAGAGCTCATATGCAGTAGGATTTAGACTCACTCCAAGCAAGGCTCAGTTCCTCACAAAACTTTTGGACATGGTAAGGGTGATGCATGTTGATTTTCCCACATCAGGGTTACAAAAACATCACTCTAGTTCGATAATTCCTGTTGTCACCACTTGAAGACTCGTGCAAATATAATATTCATTACATATAACTTTGCTGGTAGAATTTTACTTTGTCATTTCAAAAAAGAGCATCTGGGCCTGCATTCACAGACAGAGCAAGAGCCCCCCTTTTTTTTGGGTGGGGGGGAGAGGTGTTAGAAAGCCTCATTCCTTGAATTCAGTCTTGTTATTCTCCTTCCCTTGCCCAGTCCACACCTTGACATGATACAGCTGCTGTGGCTTCAAGGTCTCCAGAAAACCGGTGCTGCCTGCACAGAAAGGCCATCTGCCGCTCACCAGGAGAGCCTCTTTCAGGCAGGACACTGAAGGGCTGAACTGCCATTTTTGTCTGATCTCCCCTTTTCCAGCAGGCAAGTCGTTTTAGTCAAAAAGGCCTCATAGAATACAACTCCGCCTAATCTTCCTTGCAAATCTCACTTTTAACCTGACATATGGCACAGGCGTGATCCTTCCTCGCCAACCGCCTCTTCCATCTGACCACTTTTCCTGATGCGCAAGAGGGCACTCATGCCCAGGTGAGCTTCTCCCCACTCCGGCTTGTTATATAATCATACAGTCACATAAATATGCAGCAGCAATGTCTGCAATTATCTTAATCTGCAAGCAACCGCGACAGTGCCGTTTCAGCACTGGACCACTTCTTGCTGAAGATGAGAAAGGAATACAGTAAAAGGACTGGTCTGGTAAACCCCCTTTAGAGGAAAAGATGAATGTTCTGGAAGTAATACAAACCAAATTGATATAATATACAACTAGAAGATCCTGTCATAAAACTCCCAGCCACGTACACACCACAAATCATGCGTTTTTTTCCTAAGCTCTTCCGATGCAAAACCAAAGAGATACGCTACCAAATCATTTACCTGAGTTTCAAACCAGCATCAGGAACCCTTTTGATGGCACCAGCTAATAGAAAGGCAAAAGTTCAGGAGTGGCAGTTGCTGCACTTGGAATTTGGCCAGGTGTTTACCTGTATACCCCCAAAACGTAACAGAGCTAAAAAAAAAATCAGCCAAAGCTTAAAAAAAACAGAAAGCCAGTGTTGGTGCAGACCTGGTGCTCAGGAGATCTGGGTTCTGGTCCCCACCTGGCCTGGAAGCTCATCAGAGGACGTTGGCCCAGTCACGAAGTCTCAGCCCAGCCTATCTCTCAGGGCTGTTGTGGTAATAAAATGGAGAGGAGGATTATGCCAATTGCCTTCAGTTTCTTGCAGGAAAAAGATGGAAAATAAACACAATAAATGAATAGCATTGCTGCTTAGAGTAGAGTCGGCCGTCATGGGAACAGCCTACCTGGGCTGAACTCTGACAACAGTTTCCAAGAGCTTTGAGGGCATATGATATCAGTGGCCCACTGAGTGCTGCAAATCTGCCCTGTTGCTGCTGCTGCTCTTCTGCCGGTTTGGCCAAAGAGGTTTTGCAGCCAGTGCAGGTTCCATCTCTAAGTCCTGGAAAAAGGGTCGTCTATACAAAGCGTAGTGCAAAATGGAGTAGGTCATGAGTGGAGAATCCGGTTAACTGAATGATGCAAACTTAATTAAGAAGTATAGTTTGGCGGACGAGCATACGCTGTGCATGCAGAAAGCCACCCAGCATCTCTAGTTGAAAGGTAGCAAGGCTGGGAAATCCTTCTCTCCTTCCATGGTCCTAGAGAGCCACAAAAGCAGGCAACTTAGTGCCCCCCACAGATCTGAGACTCCCCTCATCTCTACTCACTGGTCATGCTGGCTGGGGCTGATGGGGGTTGTGTGCAAAATATCTGGAAGTCCCCAGCTTGTCTACCTCTGGGCTAGACGGATCAAATTATTTATTAACTTTCCACCTTGTATGGCTCTTTGGGTGATGTACAAGAGAATGTAAAATGAATTTTAGAAAATATGAAATATAAATGCCACAATAAAAAACAAAGGTTCACACAAGGAAATCTGCTAACAGCTAACCATCTGAAAAGCTAAACCAATCTCATAAAAGCCAGAGACATAAGAGCTAAGCACAGCACAGCTCTGATAAAAGCCGAGACAAAAATATTGTATCAGTGTTATGTGACGGTAATTCCAAATGCCAGGAT